GGGCGGGGCGGGACAACCCTAGGGGTGTGGCCCTGAAAGGGGGCCGGAAAGACGGTGCCCTAGGGAGGCAGGGATTGTAAGGCTTGTGAGGCGCAAGGGGAAGGAGGGCGTGAAGAGTGTGTCTGTGTACGGCCACAGGTCCTGGCAGCAAGCGGCTGGGCATCGATGGTGACCGGGAGGCCGTCCCTCTAACACTACAGATTATTTACAGCAAGGTAAGACCAGTTCCAGGTCTCTTTCCTTTGGAAGACTGCTCAGATCCTTCCTCCACCAGGGCTTGGGCCCAAAGGCAGCTCCCATGTTTCCGTGCCCTGCAGCACAGGCCCTTGCCTGAGTGCTGAGAGAAGGTAGCTAGAGAGCAGGCATGTCTCCCCTTTGGCCTCCAGAGCCTCTCAAGGCAGCAGGCACCAAGGCTAAGGGTCTGGTTGTGTTGCCTTCTAGGGAGCGATCAGTGGACGGAGCCGCTGGAGCAACGTGGAGAAAGTCTGTACCTCTGTCAACCTCAACAAGGCCTGCCGGAAGCAGGAGGAGCTAGGTGAGTGGAGCAGCCAGTGCGGGGAGCCTGGAAGGGAGGGGTTCTGAGCCTGGCCTGACCTCCCCTTGACCTTCAGACTCGAGCACGGAGGCCCTGACGCTAACCCTGACAGAAGTGGTGAAAAGGCAGAACCCCAAGTCCAAGAAGGGCTTTAACCAGGTAAATGTTTCCCTCTGCTCCCAACCACACCCTCGGGAAACTTGGAGTGCGTGCGTGTGTGTGTGTGTGTGTGTGTGTGTGTGTACGTGTGCGCGTGCACACGCGTGTGCATGTGTATGCACGTGTAGGTGCATGTGAGTGAGAGGCAGAGAGGGGATGTACATGACAAGGCGTGTGGATGGGACTGGAGAGGCATGTGAGGGGTATCAGCTAGGGCAGTGGCACTGTATGCACAAGCATGAGTGTTGGGCGTGTCAGGGAGGGAAGGGTGTCTTGTGAGAGGATGTGTATAGCAGCCAGTAGGAGAGCCCTGAGTCCAGGGAAGAGTGGGCTCCGTGGCAGGGAGCCCCAGGGCTCTGACGCAGGGATGGACAGTGCAGTCTCCTCTAGGGCACTTGCTTCTTCCAGACTCTGAAAAGGGCAGAGGGCAGAGAAGGCAGGGCCTGCTGGAGGCTTCAGGACCCCTTTTCTGACCTGGTTATTAGCTTTGAAGGACTTCCAGCCTAACTTCTGCCCCTCACCACCCCCCAGACCAGATGGGCAACTCTGAGGGAAGGATCCACCAAGGGATGGCAGGGTTCTGTGGCTAAGGCTCGGGGTTTGACACAGGCCTCCCTTCCAGATTAGCACGTCACAGATCAAAGTGGACAAAGTGCAAATCATTGGCTTCAATGGCTGCCCCTTTGCGGTGTGTCTGGACCAGGATGAGAGGAAGATCCTGCAGAGTGTGATCAGGTAGGAAAAGCTGGCCCTAGTTTGTCTTTAGCAAAAAAGGGCTCCAGGAGGGAGGTCAGTTTCTGTTCTCCTGTTCCAGAGTCCTGGAGGGGTTCGGAAAGGGGGCTGTCCTCACTTACCCTTGCCTGGTCCCACAGGTGTGAAGTATCACCTTGCTACAAGCCAGAGAAGAACAGCCCACCACCCCAAAGATCTCCCAACCCACTGACCCAGGCTGCACCTGACCTCTGCTCCCTCCTCTGCCTGCCCATCATGACTTTCAGTGGAGCTCTGCCCTAGCTGGGCCTGGCACCAGACTGACAGGAAGCCCTGGGCAGTTTCCTCCAGACTCCTCTCTGGGTCAGCCACTTTCTGTGGAGAACCAGGTGGCCCTGTGCTGGTCATGGTCCCTCTGTAAGCCTACAACAGACCACGAGCATGGTGGTAGATAATTTCTGGACCTCAGACATCTGGGAACAAAACAGGAATTGGGAGAGAGTGGCCCAACCACATGGCCTCTCAGATTCCCCTTAGCACAGGAAGAAGGAAGAGTTGGCCTCCACAGGGTGCTCTGGCCTATGGTTAGGCCTCTTCTCCTAGCCCTTGGCTAGTTCCAGCCTTGCTTTGTCAAAGATTTGGTGTCTCTTTCTGAAGTTCAGTCCTCTCTACTCTGGGACACAGGTGGGAGAAATCTAGATGAATCTTTTCTTTCCTGACCTTCAGTACCATCTTTTCACCTCCCATATCACACACATACGCACACCCCATACACACACTATTTCTCTGCCTGGAGTTCCCTGCATCCTCTGACAAAACAGCACTAATATCTGTAACATTTGACCTATTGGCTGTCAGGACCTGGTGTAGATTTTTCCTTGAATCTCTTTTTGGATTTGAGATCCTGGGAACACAGATCAGGCTTACCTTCTGGAGCAGCTTGATTGCTTTCTAGCTGAAGAGCCAGAGGAAGTTAATGAAATTCTTTGAGCCTTCATTTCCTTAGCACTAAAATGGGAGGGAAGTAAGACTTCCTTATACTGTTGAAACTATCTACAAAGCGCCTTGCACAGTGCCTCCCTCCTGGCAAATGCTCAGCAAAGACTGGCATGTTGCCCTCTTACTGCTGAGCCCTCTGTCTCTCGTCTCAGGGCTGCTCACTGCCTCTGGGATGCTCCTCACTCCTTCCCAACCCACAGTGAGGCAGAGCTCAGACAGAGAGAGTGAGTGATCTGTTGTACCTTCCAAAGAAGGAATTACGCTTGGCAGGGGCAAGGGAGAGTCAGTGGCCCAGGCATTCTTCTTCTACTGCTTCTCTGTCAGACAAGTCCCATTGCTCCCTTTCCCATTTCATCCCAAAGACTGGTGCACAATTTCAGCCCACACAAGTTTCCCAGCACTGTTCTTGTACTCGGGCAAGATCTCAATGGGTAGAGGATGGAGGGACTGACTTCATGAGCTTGCTTAGAGGCTGACTGGGGACATGTGGGGCTTATGCATGGGAAATGATCAGCACATGATAGAACACAAGAGTCTAAAATTTGAAGCAACTGGGTTGGATTTGTTTGAGGAGGCTGACTAGGGTGGCAGGGAAGAGAGCACAACCAGGGTTCAGGCTGGTACATGTGGGGAAAGTGATCATGGAAACAACCTTGATTTCTATGCTGGCCCCCTCCTTCCTGTCCTTCTCCTAATTCATCATGCTTGGAAGGTCCCAGGCTTACTGGAGCCCATGAAACCCTAGTTCAAAGTACTCATGACTTGAGAGAAGGAGACAGATACAGTGGATCACCATTCTCCCTGTCCTAGCCATCTGAATTTTCAACCATCCCGAAGAGTTGTCAGCTACATAACTTCAATCCTTTTTTTTTTTTTTTTTTTGGTACCGGGTATTGGACTCAGGATCTTGCATGTGCGAGGCAGGCGGCGGCACCACTGAGCTAAATCTCCAGCCCACTTCATTCCTTTTTAATTGTGCAAACAAGTTGATCTACTACATGATCAATAAATATACAAGAATTGATGTATAAAATTTAATATTATTGTCAAATAAACTTAAATTTTCTTGTATTTAATGACCTACCATTATTTTGCTGCTTGACAACTACTAGTTAGGCAGTTTACATAAATCATTCCATACCTAACAAAACTAAGACTCTTGGGGGATTTGTTCTATCTTTGTAATTTTCCACTTTATAGAAAATATATTTGTACAGTGTTTTATTTAAGCCTCATGATACACACCAGCAAAAAATCCTATACCTACGGACTCAGTAGTTGGGGTTTCCTGTGTAAATTCACTTGAAAAATGCACGCTTGTGTATACAGCTGTCCCTGTACCCCACCCCATAGAGGGGACAGGCTTGACGGTAAATTGTTGAGTGTACAGGGGACCCTGCACCTGCCATGCAACCGAGGGGAAGGGAAGAGAGCTCAACAGCAGTTCTCCATATCTGAGACTTCTTTTAGACTAGAGTCAAGGGAAGGAGAGAAGCATAGAATAGTGGAGGACACCTGTGTCTTGGGAGAGTTAGGTAAGTCCCGGGTCCCAGAGCAACTACTTGGGATAGAGAGAGAAGAAATTGTGAGATGTGCCGGCTCTGTGTCAGCTAGCTATTGCCAGCAATGAAACATACCCAAACCCAGTGGATCAAAACTCTGATCATTTATTCTTGCCCATGCATCTACTTGGTATCTAGGAATCACCTGATCTAGATTGGACTCTCAGAGAGCCCACGCCGCAGGTTGAGTCCAGATCTGTTCTGTGGGTATCTCAGACATCTTGGGCCAGTATGCTAGAACAAGATAGGTGGACAGACATGTGATGCGGCCATGGGCTGGCACCTGGAGTTGGAGCGATATCTCTACTGCCAGTATCCAGCTGGCCCAAACTGGCAAAACACATCAACCCATAGGCACGATAAGCTTGTTAACTCTCACACAGGACAAAAATCACAGGAGAAGAGCACTTCAACTCATGTTATTTCCAAAGCCCCACAACTTCAGTTGATTTATGAGAAAAACCTCTGACAAACCTTGACTGGGGAATGCTCTACAGCGTGGCCTGGCCATACTCCTCCAGACTGTCAGTGTTCTGAAAGATAAGAAAATATTTCAAAACCCACATATCTCGCAGATTAGGTAGACCTGAAAACTAAATGCAGTACAACTCTGTATTGGATCCTAAAACATAGGACAAACCGGCAAGCCCCCAATTAGGTTTGGAGTTAAGTTTTTAGCGCATAACCCTCATTATCAAATTCCTGAAGAGAAAAAAGTAATGATAAAAATCTTAAAAACAGCCAGAGAGAAATAAAGTTCCATTCATCTAAGAGTTCCTTCCTCAACAGAAACAATTAGGGCCAGAAAACAATGAAATGACGTCTTTCAAGGACTGAAAAAGCAATTGACAACCTAAATTCTACACCTAGAATTTACTTTTAATTTCCTTTTAAATTATATGCTTTTCACAAGAGATACTCTTCAAACATAAGATTACTCAGAAGCTGAGAGCAAAATAACAAAAAGGATAATGCCAGGCAAACCTGACCAAAAATCTCATCTGTTATACTAATGTCAGACAAGGACTTAAGCCAAGAAGCATTACAAAAATAGAGACATTTCTTAAAGATCAAGGAGTCAATCCATCAAAAAGACAGCAGCATTAGAAGCCTGTATGCACCCAATAACATAACATTAAACTATGTGAAGCAAACATTGACTATATTAAAACTATCCACAACCATAGTGAAAGACTTTAACATACCTCTCTCAATAGCTGATATAGAGGTAAAGAAGATCTGAGCAATATATTAACAAAATTGATTTCATTGAAGTAGAACACTGTGCCCAACAACATCAGAATTCACATTATTTCAAGCCAGGTGTGATGGCCCATGCCTGTAATCCCAACACTCAGGAGGCTGAGGCAGGAGGATCACTGTGAGTTCGAGACCAGCCTGGGTTACATAGTGAATTCCAGGTCAGTCTCAACTACATAGTGAGACTCTGTCTCAAAAAACAAAACAAAGCAAAACAAAAAACTAAAAAAAATATTATTTTCAGATACATGTAGAATATGAAATATCAAATGAGAGAAATCAAATTTTTTCCTCTGACTACAATGCAATTAAACTACCAATGACAAAAATATTATAAGAAAATCCCAACTATATAAAGACATTTCCAAATAATCCATGGATCAATAAAAGAAAAGTCAAAACTAGAAAATATTTTAAATTTCTTGATGATAAAGACATGATATTGAAATGAATGGAATGCTAAAGCAATACTTAGAAGGAAATTTATGCTGGGTGTGGTGGTGCACACCTGCAATCTCAGCATGAAGGAGACCAAGGAAGGAGGATCACTGTGAGTTTGAAGTCAGCCTGGGCTACATTGTAAATTCAAGACAGGCCTGAACCACATAGTGAGACCCTATCTTAAAAAAAAAAAAAAAGAAAATTTATTATCACAAAAGGCATTTTTTATAACAGAATAAAAGCTAAAAGCAATCATTTATATCTTTTTTTTTTTTTTTGGTACCGGGGATCCAACTCTGGACATTGCACTTGTTAGGCAGGCGCCAAAGCCACTGAGCTAAATCCTCAGCCCAATCATTTATATCTTAAATGAAAGATAGCAAAAGAGGAACACATCAATGTCAATAAGATAGAAGTAAAGAAATAAGTACTATAGCAGAAATTACTGACCTAGAAAATCAACATACTAATTAATAAAATCCCTAGCAAGGCTCATGAGAGTATGATGAATACCAGTATGATTAATGAAAAAGAAGACATCTCTACAGATCTTACAGATATTAAAAAGATAAGAGATTTTTACAAATTACTAAACAAATTTGACAATTTGGAGTAAATGAAGAAAGTGATCAAAATATAATTTTCCAGTCTGAGAGAAGAAATGGAAATTTTGAGCAATTCTTATTCTTGCTTATCTATAAACAAGATATGATTTCCCTCTGCCTTCTTTCAAGTCTTTGTCTTTCATTTTTCTGCCATTACAACGTAATATGTTTAGGTATCAAACTTTTTAAAGATGCTATCTAACTATATCGCTCAGTTTGGCCTTGAACTCTTGGGCTCAAGTGATCCTCCTGACTCTGCCTCTTGAAGAGCTGGGATTATAGGCCACCCCACCCCACCTGGCAATTGATTTTTTGGGTATTCATCTTTCTTGGTGTTCTCAGAACTTCCTGGATCAGTGGTTTGGTGTCATTAATTTGGGGGAATTCTTAGCCATTATTGTTTCAATTTGTTTGTTCTCTTTTTCCCTCTGTTGTTATTCCACAGTTTTGGGACATTCTGTTCAGTCTTTTTTCTTTTTTTTTTCTTTTTCTTTTTTTTTTTTTTTTTTTTTTTTTTTTTTTTTGTTTTTCTTTTTTGATTTTTTTTTTTTTTTTTTTTTTTTTTTTTTTTTTTTTTTTTTTTTTTTTTTTCCATTTTGCATTTCAGTTCTGGAAATTTCTACTAACATTTCTTCAAGGTAGTTAATTCTTCCCTTGGTGATACATAGTTTATTGATTAGCTCTTAAAGGCATGTTTCATTTCTGTTACAAGCCTTTGATTTTTAGTACCCCTGATGGATTCTTGGAGTTTCTATTTGTCTGCTTACATTACTACATGTGCTTTTACTGATTGCCCACTTTTTAAAATTAAAGCTCTTCTTATGTTAATTTAATTGTTTCAAGTTTCCACTAACTCTGGTAATTCCAATCTTTGCCATTTTTTAGTCTGGTTCTGATGCTTATTTTGTCTCTTCATGCTGATTTTTTGTTGTTGTTGTTGCTGCTGCTGCTGGTGGTGGTTTTGTTCTTGTTTGTCATTTAGTGTGTCTTGTAACTTTTTGCTAAAAGCCAACATGGTATAACTGGTTTTGAGGAACTGAAGTAAATAGTCCTTTAGTGTGAAGTTTTACGCGTATCTGGGTAGCAGTTAAGCTGTGTTTACTGCTGTAACTACAGGTGTCAGGGGCTAAAATTTCTCTTATATCCTTTGTTTTGATGTCCCGGATGTACAAGATCCCCGTTAACTTGGTGCTAAGTGCATTGCAGGGATAGTGTTCTATTGTCCTGTGGTTAGGTCTCAATGTTTTAGGGAGCCTGCACCCTCTAGGCTGTGACCTTCAGAGGAGCTTCTCATTTTTACCCTCTTAGGTGACACAGGATGGCTAGGGAAGACTAGGGTTGGATTCTGCCCTTCTCCCACAGGAAGCCTAGAGTGAGCTGGATTCAAAATTTCCCTTCCTTCAGGACAGTTGGTCTGCTAAAATCCCAATAAGCTTTGGTCAAATAGTTTTTCTTCAGGGCAGGCCTTATTAAGGGCGTATTTCAGAATGGCTACTTTCCCTCTGTCAGTGTTAGAATCGTGGAGGAATATTTCTCTGATCTTCACTGTGAGAACATTATAGGGCTCCTAAAGGTAAAACTCCTAATTGTGTGGGATCCTTGATGGGTCCCCCTGCAGTTTGTAACTCTCAAGCTCATC